AGTAAAACATGCAGGATGCCGACCCTGGAGAACCGACTTTGGACACCCCTGGTATAAATGGTTTATTTTAATCAAAGAAGCAATATAAAACTGTTACTGGAAAGGATAATTTATTGAAAACACACCAAAAAATATATATTTTTATCTATCTAAACTTCACTTTCCATATATTTATTGTATGAAGTTTATTCTAGTGGATTCTGTGCTTGTCAACAATTATACACCTTGCTAAATAAGTGTTAAAATATCTGCTTTTACTTGTACAAATTATTCCAGGGATTCTAACACGATAACAATACATAAGACAAATGTACTATTTATGTCAGAGCTTTCAGCGTGCGCGCTCACGTGACTCGCAGGAGGAAGGCAGCTCGCGCACTTCCAGCCTGCACACGCGCAGAGAGGCTAGCAAACCGGGTGTTGACATTTTTTAGCAACACATTTAGCGACAATGGCGGCCGAAGTGAGACAGGAGCTTGCACAGTTGATGAATTCAACCGGATCTCACAAGGACCTTGCTGCCAAGTACGTAGCTATCAGCGGACAATAACATAAGCTGCTAATAAAAATCAGTTCACAACGGAAACGCCGCATTCGTGTTAGCTAGTAGCAATGTAGCTTTGTTAGACTTAGCTATGCTAGTATCATTCACTTAGTTATATTAGCCACATAGCAATTCGTTAGACTGAACGCTTCAGCCTGACAGTGTAGCGCAATTTAAGAGTATTTTGTGTTCACCAAGCAAGAGGTTACTCTGGGTTATTGATATATTTTTTGCGATGCTTGCTGACTTGCATGGAAGCTAACGTGGCTTTTTAATTTGCAGATAGAAAAAAAACATAAAACGAGTTACAATTTGGCTATTTTTCATATCACACAGACACATTGCAATGCATAATGTGTTTAGGAAGAATGTCAAATGGTCCACAAATATTGCGGATAAAATCCTCTGTGAGTGTATGTTGTTATGAAGACAGGCAAATACTGAACAAGGCGCATATTAAACTTCATTTTCACCTGCTCCTATCTGTAACCAAGAGAAGCAGATAGTCTGTAACGATTCTTTTACTATTCTAAGAGCGAATGACTTAAACTACAACGACATGTGGATGTTGAGTTGATCAGAACGAAAAAAATAAGAATTTTCCGAAATGATCAATTTCAATCACTGATCTGGTGATTGGTATATCCTCTGTTTTCTTGCTGAACTGTTTGATTCTTCTCATTACCTTATCATTAAACATTTATTTCACATTTTTAAGAAGACTTCCACAAGAAACCTTAATAGTGCGTGTAATCAGTCAAATTTCTCTGTAGATATCGACAGATTTTGGAGAAAGCCATGCAGCTGACGGATGCAGAGCAGCTGGAGTCCTTGAAGGCCTTTGTCGAAGCGAGTATGCATTACGGATATTGTTCTCATGTGGCCAGCCTCATCTACGAGTCTGCTTCTTCGAGCAACTGTGAAATTTTATGCTTTTTTCAAATTTATTTTTTATTTTTTTGCAGTGGTCAACGAGAACGTCAGCCTTGTCATCTCGAGACAGCTGCTGACCGACTTCTGCACGCACTTGCCCAACCTGCCGGACGCCACGGCTAAAGCGGTGTATCACTTCACCTTGGAAAAGATCCAGCCGAGGGTCATCTCCTTTGAGGAACAGGTAGATTTCTTTATGTTTTGCCACAACAACCATGGAGATTTTTTTTTTAAACTACAGTATGTAACTTTAAAAATAAATAAATAAAAGTTTTTTACGTTTGTTAAAACTGTCACCATGTCGTGACAGTATAAAATGAGACAGATAATCTGTAAAAAGATTGAACTTCTCCACCGCCTGGTCAAAAACAACAAATCAGAGCCAGAGGGTGTGTCTTAACGCTGTTAATCAACTTGTGAACACGCTGAGAAACATCTCACTGTTAAAGGAAAACCGTTTACCCGTCTTCATTGATGGCCATGCTAACTAGCTTTAGCATTCACGACAAGCTCTGCTGACGGGGAGTGACAGTTTCAACAAATATGTAAAAAAAAGTATTTCTTATAAAAGTTACATTTTGCCCTTGTAAAGTTAAAGAACATAACTGATTGTATCCTACATGTTTAAATGATGCTCCTGTGTCTTCAGGTGGCCTCAATCAGACAGCACTTAGCAACTATTTATGAAAAGGAGGGAGACTGGAGAAATGCCGCGCAAGTTTTAGTTGGCATTCCTCTGGAAACCGGGCAAAAGTACGTAGTTTGTTTACAGATCAGCGTTCAGATCTCCATAAAAGTTTCACGTATTTGAATGCCTCTTCGCTCCTCCTCCCCCGACACAGGCAATATAACGTCGACTATAAGTTGGACACGTACCTAAAAATTGCTCGGCTCTACTTAGAAGACGACGACCCCGTGCAGGCGGAGGCCTACATCAACAGAGCCTCGCTGCTTCAGAATGAGTCGTCGAACGAACAGCTGCAGATCCACTATAAGGTGCGCGATCTCTTTATCGAAAACAAAGCCTTCCTCCGAGGTGCAAAGTCTCTACGGTGAAGTCTGTCCTTCTGTTGTGCTGCGACTTAAGCTGTTGCTCTTTGTTAGGTGTGCTACGCCAGAGTCCTTGATTTCAGGAGGAAGTTCATTGAAGCTGCGCAGAGATACAACGAGTTGTCTTATAAGTCTATTGTCCATGAAAGTGAACGACTGGAGGCGCTGAAACACGCTCTGAACTGCACCATACTGGCCTCCGCAGGTATAGGAAGTCTGACCTTGACTTACATTTTTCAGAAATGATCTCATCAGCTCTTTCTTTACTTGTCATTATATTAGGGATGCATTAATATGAACATTTTGGTCAGTATATTCCATACTACTATTGCTGGCCAATAATCAATATAGACCAATGTTAATCAAAAATCTAAACATAAACATTTGTTCATTTGTACCGTACTCGCCACAAATGGTCAATAAAGTTTCTTAGAGGGAAACAAGAGAGAGAATGTGAGAAGACAGGACTGCTGCGTAAACAGACTTCAAAATAAGAGCATGAATACAGGTTTCAATAACCAAAACTTCAATGCAGATTGTCAAGCTTTATTCAAACTGAGAGTTGACAAAACAGCCTAGATAGCTTTAGGATTTATTGGGAAAATTTATTTAGGGGAAGTTAAGTATGCTAGATGTTTTCAAAGTTAGCTAAAGTGCTATGCAAAAAAATTAGCTTTGCTATTAATGCATTAGCATATTAGTAGAAGTGTACACTGCAAATACCACATGACCAACCCCATCACCTTCCCCTTGAGAAACACAAACACAGATGGCAACAAGATGGGAATAATCATTGGTTGTTAATATCGGCCAGTTTTACTTATCGAACTGATACTGGTATTTTGAAAACTTGCTAACTTTGGCCATTTTTTTTTTTTTTTTTGTGCTTCCCAACATTCTATTTTTGATCCGTTGCAGGTCAGCAGCGCTCCCGTATGTTGGCCACTCTCTTCAAAGACGAGCGCTGCCAGCAGCTGGCCGCTTACGGCATCCTGGAGAAGATGTACCTGGACCGCATCATCAGAGGGAACCAGCTGCAGGAGTTTGCTGCCATGCTGATGCCCCATCAGAAAGCCACAACAGCAGACGGTAACAACACAACACAGGACGGTAACAACACAGGACTTTACGCAACAGAAACTCATACATTGCTAAACCTGGTTTGTTATTCCTGGTTGTCATGTATTTAGTTATATTTAGGACTCTCCAGTGAGTATGTGGGACCATTTTGCCAGTGACCAACTTTTTATTTTATGAGGGATCTTAGGTAATTTGGTCCTTAACGTATTTCAGCAAAGTTTCATTTTATCAATTTCAGACAAAGCTGACCAAACACGAGGAGTTATCATCTTATCCGCAGCAGATAAACTTTTTAATAATCTAAGTTTGAACAAAGAGAAGCTCCAGTGTGAATAATGACTCTGGGGAGAGTGAAGGAACTAATCATTCTTTCACCACAGAGTTTTGATTCAGATCTGATGCTTTGTGATGATAACTGTAATTCTCCTTTTCAGGAAAATAAGTAAAATTAATACTTGTATATTTCTCTGGGTATGTTATCACTTGTAGTTTTAATTGTTTTATTTTCAGGGAACTTTAATCCTGGAAAAATCTGTATGTTTCAGTGAAAACAAAACATACATCTTCATAGAGTTTTTGTTTCTTTTTTGGAAAAGTTTAAAGGGACAAACAAAAAAGATTGGAACCGATCCTTTTACAGGTGGATCTGCTGCTTTTAGTGAAATATAGCCATTAGGGATGCGCCGATCTGAAAATTTGGGCTGCTAACTATATCTAATATTTATCAATAGTATGTATATTTTTCTATGCTTTCAACACCTGAAAAAAACTCACAGTGCTGTCATTGCTTCTGTGCTTTAGGGAAACACCCACAATCCTTTGCTGCATCACGGTCACTGTCACATGGCCAAGCCCCTCCCCTTCAGGAAACACAAAAGGCAACAAGATGTTAATATCATCTCACTTTTATTTACGGAATCGATACAGATATGGGTTTTTTTGTTTGTTTTTTTTAATTTACCAACATTGGCCAATACCGATTTTAATTATCATCACCTACATTTACATAACGAAATCACTTTTTTTGTAGTTGGTTGTTTTGTCCATCTGAAATGACACATGACTTTGTTCCCTGCAAACATGTCAGATCAAAGAACAGTGGCACATTTTCCATATCTGGAACAATTTTTACCCCAATAAGATGAAGAAAAGTTTGTTTGTTTTTAACTTTACAAATTTACAGCTGGAGATGACAAACTCTCCCTCTTGTTTCAGGCTCCAGCATCCTGGACAGAGCCGTGATCGAGCACAACCTGCTGTCAGCCAGCAAACTCTACAACAACATCACATTCGAAGAGCTGGGAGCGCTGCTGGAAATCCCCCCGGCGAAGGTGACGGCTTCACGTTCTCGTGTTCAAACAGGACGTTCGCTCTGTGGCGGATGTGCATGTTGTCCTGCAGATTATCTGTTTCACCAGCAATAAGCAAACAACGTCTCTGTGTCTAGGCTGAGAAGATTGCGTCTCAGATGATCACTGAGGGACGCATGAACGGCTTCATCGACCAGATAGACGGCATCGTTCACTTTGAAAGTGAGTCTCTGAGATCTGGTTGCCGTCTCTTTTTAATTTAATTTAATTTTTTTATTCAAGTGTAAGTATGTTAAGATACCATACCGTCAAAGTTGACATGTTAGAAGCAGGAAAATGTCAGGTGTCTGAATGCGCAGTTAGTTGGAGCTCATTGCACGTCAGAAACATTATCTGGAGTGTCAGGTGAATCTTTTGCTGATTTAGTAAATACTTGGTACCAGGATGCATCATGGGAAAACAGAGTTAAGCACCTGGAGGCAGTCGGATGCTTTGGGCCGGGGTCCACAGGGCAAACTTTGGGATAGCAGGGATCACCAGGGAGACCAAGTACAGCCTTTCATGTAAACAAATCTTCCCCGGCGTCCAGGGCCGGTTACCGCGGGATACCAAGCCATGAAACAAACTGTTCATGAGTAGTTTAGGGCTAAAATAAAGATTATTTTAGTAACCGATTATTCTTAGTATGAATTGTATGATTTTTTTTTATTCTTTTTTCCATTTAACCACTTAAGCTTATTTTATACAAGACTATAATTGTGTAAAAAATAGAAATAAACAGGTAATTAATTGTCTTTTTTAAAGAAGAAATTAAACAATTATTTTCCAAAAATACAATAGTGGTATTTCTTTAGTGAACGTTTGATCATACAGAGAAAACAATAAATCTGCAGCTAAAATAATTCTTCTAACATCAACATGTGGAAAGTTCAGCTCTTTCTACTTGATTTAACATTAATATAATCTAGGGCTGATCTGTTTATTTATTTATTTTTGATTAATTGATTCATAATTATTCTGCAAAAAGTGCCCAATAGGAGATTTTATTATTATTACTTTATTTATTTTACAGAATTTAAACCAGGTGAAACTTAAACTGCATTGAGGCATTCTGGGTAGAACATATTTAAAGTCAAAGATGTCTTTTTTTTTTCTTGAATGCAAAATGTATATACAAATATACATTTTTGAACAGTTTTGGTTTATTTACTGCTGTGTGTTCTTTGATCAACTGACCTTTTTTTTTCTTGTCTGTGTACTCTAGTTAATGATTAAAGTAGTTGACAATTATTTCAATAATCGATTCAAAGGCACGATTAATCGTTTCAGCCCTAGAATAGTTTGAAGATCCCAACAAGAAGTTTAAGATGCTGAACTGGCCTCCAGCTTCTGTACATGTCAAGAATCCTCTGCATTTCCACAATCAAAACTGAAACTGATCATTAATCGGCCTGCTTATGAAATAAGCAAGGCTGCAAATAACAGCCTGAAAAACTATTTTGAATTCACGGTCATCCAACACAGGTGATGTAACCTCATTAATTAATTCATGAATTTATTAATCCCCAAGGGGGGATATTGGCATGTCGGTTCAGTCTGTCCAACAACAACATAAAACATGGGCAGCTGTGGCAACATAATTATGTAAGTTTGTTTTTTTCATTCTACTTTATCTGCAGCAATGACTTTTTAGTTGCCTCCACACAGAGCAAAATGGACGATTTTGCACTAGCAAAATTGTTACTAGCGTCTGTGTCCAGAAGGGGGCAGCCTCGTTAACCTGGATTCCTCAGCACACAGCCCGCATGTCTTCATCTGGTTGTTTTCTGTGTCTCTGGCAGCCCGGGAACCCCTTCCCACCTGGGACAAACAGATCCAGTCTCTGTGTTTTCAAGTCAACAACCTGCTAGAAAAGATTCGCCAGGCAGCTCCAGAGTGGGCAGCCCAGGCTATGGAAGTCCAGATGACCCAGTGAACATCAGTACGCCTCCCCTTACCCTACTTCTGTCTTCCTGCTCAAACAATGTCATCTCTGAAGCCCCAGTTATTAAAACACCCGAGAAGAACTTCATATTGTTTGTATTTTTGTTTTTTTTATTATGAATACTGTTTAAATAACAGCAATCCTCCAGCTGTGGAGGAAGCCAGTGAATGTACTTTCAAGAGCGACTAATAATTAACATGTTAACAATCTGGCCTCATAAGTTAGCATGTAATAAGGTTGACAACGTGCCGTGTAAGTGGTTGGTGAATAATGGTATACTTGTTGGTACAAAGCTGTATTTTCAGTGAAGAGAAATAAATCTAAAGTTAAAGTGACCCGTTGAGCTAAATAACTGTCGTCTTTTTCTCTGTTTTTTCTTTTAGCAACAGTAAATCTCCATTTGGAGTCATTTTTTGCTTTATAGCCTCTTATCTGCACGTTTAAATACAATAAATTAGGCCTAAAATGATCTACAAAGGTTTTTAAGAGTAACAATGAACTTAAAGTAGTTAGTTTTAGAAGTTGTAAAAGAAAAACATTAAAAAATAAACTTGATGGATCATCGGTAGATGTGAACAGCTCTATAAAAGCAGGAGTTTGGGTCATAATTCATCAACCACGGATAATCAAAGAGTCATGGACTTTGATGCTGTGGGCAGGAAGCATCTCCAGTTGCAGTCAATCTCGCAGTGAATCTGACGAGGCCTCTGAAGACTTGCTGTACGACAGTGTCATGACTTTTACGGCATGACACCCTGGAGCTTGGGGTCATAGTTCAAGGGAGCGTTAGGCATGCTAATACAACGCTAATATAAAAGCCAATATCTTGTTGCCATAGATACACAAAACAAGTGGTTGGAAATAATTATAGATTCATATTTATTCAGATTCAAATGCATATATAGACTCCCTTTAATGTTAGGTTTGCAAGTAGCAAAGACATTTTGTTTTGTTGCATAAAGAAGCTTCTGTCAGAATTCTGACTACTTTACCTTTCATTCAGCAATGGCAGACTTATTTAAAATTTAATTTCTATAGTTTTAAGCACAGGTCATGTATTTCAATTAGACTGAGGTAAACAACTTTTTATTCATTTTAATACCAGCTGTATGTTTTGGGATTGTTGTCAACAGCAGTGTCTCCATTGATTGAGCATATAATTACGGAGTTTGACAATTAGAAAATAAATTCCCTTAAACACGCCAATTTAAATTAATCAATCAAGCAAATTTTATTTGTATAGCACATTTCAGCAGCAAGGCATTTCAAAGTGCTTTACATAATTAAAATAAAAACAGCATGTGAGAAAGAGATTTAAAAAACATAATTAAAACGTAAACAGTGAGAAAGAGAAGAAAAAAAACTTATCAATTAAAAGTTTTAGTGCAAAGATGATGTGTTTTTCTGGCCATATTGAAGTTGCTTTATTTCGCAAAACTGCAATGGAAACACTGTACCATATGAGTCACATGATCAACAACCGGATGTAGACATAGGCGCAAACCACGAAGAAGACGACAGGAAGTAGTTGAAGTGTGACGGCGCAGCATGTGTGATTTTAATTGCGTTTGTTGTCTAATGGAAACACTGCAATTGAGAAATTGCGTTTTATCTACATTAGCGGAATATTGACAACGTTTTTGCGCACGTTTGTATGGAAAATGCAGGTATGTCTCCAAGTTTCCACTATCTAGTTGAAGCATTTAGAAGCGGTTCTGTATGATCGTCACTGCAAGGATTTTACTGATCACACAATGACTTCTAGTAATTTATGGAGCTTTTTATTATTATTGGGAGTTTATCAGAGTCATAAATGAGTAAACAACACAGAAGATATTTGTCATGGTGCTCATTAAATGTCCACAGACAGCTATCAGACTTCTTAAAGATGACTTAGCATTACAAATCAGCTGTTTTTCATAAAGCTGCTTTGACCTAGAAGGCCTCCTGGTTACCATAGGATGCCATACCCTTCTTGAAGTAAGTAATATATTGGTAGTCACATTTATTACCACATTTCAGCAACAAGGCAGTTCTTTACACCATGAAGACATTATGTAACAAGCAATAAACCTTACAATCGCTTTTTTACACAGGGTCATGGAGATGTGGGTCATTTTTCTCGTTTGCCTGATAGTTACTTAAGAGAAGAAGAAAAATTGTGAAAAGATCTTTCATGGTGCCGGCTTTACAAAAAACTTCAGGATTATGCTGTGGTATTGAGGCAATTATAGATAGAAAATAAACAAAATAGAAAATAGAATAAGTAAACAGGAAAGAGTAAATTTCTACCAAAAAATAAAATTTTAGGTTTATCTCAGAAACTTTCTAGAAAAATCTTCAGAAGTCAACATTTTTCAACTTTTGGAAATTTTCTGAGTTTGAAAAGTCAAAACTGTTCTAGAAATTTCTAATGTTAATCTAAAAATTTCTGGAGGCAGGGGGAGGGTTTCTTGCAAAGTTTTGACTGGTCGAGCTCAGATATTTCCTTGTATTTTCTAGAAAGTTTTGGAGTTTTTCTGGCGGAAATCTACTCATCCTCCTTTAAGTAACAATACATAGGATATAACCATGTTGTGGTTAATTAATTTTGATAATCTGCATTATCAAACTTGGAGGCACACTCAGGGAAACCAGAGAGCGAAAAGTAAGAAAGATGATATTTTGTAAAGCTTTGTTGATTCAAGAGAAAATTTGCAATAAAATGAAAGAGAGACAAGAAAGCACATACAACTTAAGAGCGTTTATTAAAACTATTTAATTTAAAATCAAGTTTTCATGTGTTCCTCTGGAAGATGACAACAGTTTTACAAGCTAGTGTTGACGCTTGTAAAACTGAGTTTTACATTTTACGTAATGTAAAACTCTTTGTGTTTTACATTATGTTGTAAAACGCAAAGAGTTTTGCGTTTTACAACATAATGTTAAACTATTAGCAGCATACATGACCGCAGTACATCATAACCCTGGGTGGGACTAATAGCAGGAGATAAACGTGGCTTCCCAATGTTGACCAAAGGTTCGTGGATAAAGGAAAAACAACGAATCACGAGGTGATTGATGGAAAAGGTGAACGACACAACGTAAAATAAAGAAGAAGAAAAAAAACAAAAAAACGATGTAGTAAACAGAATAATTTCTTCATCAAGAAAGAGAGAAAGGCTCCTCCTTATCAGTCCAGCAGTCCATGGGGGGTTTACGGCTTCTCCGTCGTCATGACTTCGCATCTATAAGACACAGAGGAAACACGTGGTTTCCCATCAGTTCAGCCTTCACAATTACGCAAATATCGAATGGTTTTTGTGCGTGAGACGCTCACCAGTTTAGAAAATGCCCTGCTCCTTTCTCCGGTTGATGTCCCGCTTCAGCTGGCAGGTGGCGCATATGGGGAAGCAGCCCGCCTTCAAGTAATCCTGACACAGAGATCCCTACGAGCACAAGCAGTCACTATGAGAGGTTGGTTCTCCTGACCGAGCTGATAAGGTCAAAAATAGACCAACTAAAAAAACAAAATGTATGGATTCCAGGAGGAAGTTCAGTTTGTGTGGGCAGAAATATGATGTACACTAAGCAAGGGTTTTAAATTATATGGGTTTAAACAGGAACTGGAAAACAAAGAGGTTCATGCAGTTTCTACAGTTCCTAAAGAAAAAAAAATCAAACACTTTAGTCTTCAGTCTATAAGACTGAAGGCTTTTATCATCCAGTTTTTGGTAGAAAGAGAGAAAAGAGAAAAAATATAAATCATGAAATTATTGCGCAAGTTTTCATTCATCATGCGAATAATTAATTTAGTGCTTATTGTGACAGGCCTACGTATTCATGAAAAAATACAAATAAAACATTTTTTGGGCCACCCCTAGAAACTAATAGCTGTGATTTCCACCTTTCTGGCATACAAAATGGCAGATAATTATAAAATAAATATATTATCTTGACGATACAGCTAAACTTCCTGGGAAAATACTGCGAGAACACGACACTTTTAGCATGTGGAAGTAAAAAGCATGTGGAGGTAAAAAGTAACCGTTTTTAGACGCATTTATTGGTTAACAATTTGTTTAAAGTGACGTCACTGTGGCCGGATGCCAATGTGGCGACAGTAATGTCCCTCATCTGCCACTCTGCCAAGGCAGCGTGAGAATCACACCTTTGTCATAAAAGTATTGCAGTAAAAATACTTAGATGATGTATTAAATTGCATCTTAAAAAGTTTTTCTCTTGTCAGCTTTCTGCCTGCTGCTGTTTGTCAAGTCTACAGAGGCGGTTCTGGCATAAATGGTTCCCTGGGCAGGTCCAGCTCTGTGGGCTCTATGCGGTGCTTACACTGTGGGGAGGGACAATTCCCTATTGAATTGACAGATAATTATTCAACCAACTGTTGAAGTTGCTGAAAATATATTTACTTTAACCACCCATGCTCTGAAATAGTAATTTAAATATTAAATTAAATACATTTTGTCAGATAGCTTATTCTGGGTTCTTTCAGAGGCATTTATTTTAACCATTTTCTGATGCTACGTTTAGTGGGACATTCTTCTTTACCTAATTCTACAGTAGAAGTTGTGAATTCAACTTGCTGTTGTTGCTTTGGGTGCTCACCCTGATGTTGTATCTGGTTCTGTAGACGCTGCGGATTGACATGCCGGTGCCGCACAGACAGCACTCGTTCATGTCGCTAGCGATGGAGCAGCCGAGACACGGGAAGCAGAAAAACCCGTAGCAACCTTAAGACACAAAGAGTGGAACCACATTAAAGGAAACGTTAGGAGATGTTGAGACTTTTTACACGTTTCAGCTGTGACGTCAGCTCCTGGTGCTCTTTTCGTTTGTCATGCTAAGCCAAACAGCGTTAGCTTAGCATAGACGGACTATGGGATAACTGCAAACTAACTACTTAAACTGGAGGAGCTTCACATTTCCATCATCACTGTTAGATACTGGCTTTATGTTGAAATATGTAAAGAAAAAAAGCCATTGTAAAAGAAAATACATAAGAATTTCTATGCACTACTTTAGTGTAATGATATGGTTACACTAACACTAACTGATAAGGAGCAGAAAACTTGGCACTTGCGGCGTGACAAAATATGAAAAGGTTCAAGAGATATTTCTACTTTTTTTAGCACCTTCTGATTGCTTTTGCACTGTAAAAAAAACGCACGTGGAATTTACACAAAAACTGAAATTGCAACAGAGAAATATTGTAAAGTGGGAAACATAAATGTGGCGTTTAATCTACAGAAACCTTTCGTAAACTAACAAACAAAATGTTTATGTTGTTTTTATGGCAGCAATATGGGAGGAGCATTATCAAATGTATTTCATTAAACTACAAACGGTGATGATAGGCAGAAAAATATTGTTATAGTCTTAAAACAATTCTGTTAACATGACATTCAAATACTGGGAAAACTATAGTTTTTGTCACTATATTAGTCACTTTATGTTGTAGCTTCTTATTAATGTAATACTGCTGTAATTTCAATCACTGTAAATTTAGATTTTTTTTAGTAGAGTTAATTACTCAACATCTGTCATTTTCAAAGGAAAACTCTGGAAACCACAGCTGCCAGAGTTTTCCTGTAAAAAAAACAACCTTTTTTTTACACTGTAGTGATTGACAAATGCTGAAAATGATCAAAATTTCAAACAATGGTAACACTTTATTTGAAGGGGGGTGAATAAGACTGTCATGACACTTTCATAAACATGACATAACACCTGTCATGAACATCAATAAGTCTTCATGAATATTTATAACTGTTGTCATAAAGCGTCATTTGGTAAATTATGACACTTTTAATACAAAGTTGACATTATTCAAAATGTTTTTGTTATGACAACTTGACATTAACCAATAAATCATTACTGTTTAAACTTTACCTTTAATAACATAAAGTTACCTAATTTTTGAAGTGCAATCAATAATACTTTTATAACAAATTTATATCAGTAATGATTTCTTGGTTAATGTCAAGTTGTCATAACAAAGACATTTTGAATAATGTCAACTTTGAATTAAAAGTGTCATAATTTACCGAATGACGCTTTATGACAACAGTCATAAATATTCATGAAGACTTATTCATGTTCATGACAGGTGTTTATGACAGTGTCATGACAGTCTTATTCAACCCCCTTCAAATAAAGTGTTACCCAAACAATTAATTTGGGGGGAAAAAAGAGTAGAAAGCTACTTACAGGTTCCAAAGTCTTCGCAGCAGTCGCACAGACCCGTCTGGAAGTCGGAGGGCTCGTATCTGCCTGGTTGGTTGGTCACAGCCATGACGACGATGATGAAAAACTTCTCTCTGGGAGATGAAGAGAATCCCAAATCACTTAAATATCCTCCCTCACAGGTCTCCGTAAATCTCTCTTCGCTTTAAGCGTCAAACAGCGTGGAAGCCGTGGTTTCCAGAGAAGCAGTTAGAAGAATGAATCTTACCAGGTGCAGGTCAGAAGGAGGGTGATACCGCTGAGTCAGTCTCCTGGGCGACAGGTAGAGAGCAGGAGGCGACGGCGGTCTTTATAAACGACCAAAGGTGGCCGACTGGAGCCGCATATGTGTAACGCCCGTCCAATCTTGACGACAGGTTTCTGGAAAACAGATTGTTAAACACACCTATACACACCCCACGGTGAGACAATAAACCTCAGTGGTGAGGCTGCTTCCATTGCTTTTTTTTTGCACCTGCATCTTTTTCAGGAAACATTTACAGCTCATGTGACGTTCCATGTTGGATATGACGGCTTCAAATTGAAGTAAGATGTGAGACACATCCTGGAAGGAAGTTTGAAGATGTGTGAAAAAGACTAAAAATAGATTTATGTTGTACTAGAGAGGCGGAATCTGACACAGGATATGTTTAGAGAGAGAGGCAAATATTGAATGTGAAAAGGATAATGTCACCCGAACAATTGTTCAAATCGATATGTAATGTTTCATATTCATAGATGTCTTTCCTCTTATGCTTTTGTCAGATGCCATTAAAAAAAACATATAAAGACAACATAATTTTCCTTCCAAAAATACTCAATTTGCCTATCAAAAACCTGCGTGTTTTAGCATTTCTTCACATAAATACAAGTGTTTTAAAAAGACATTATAAAAAGACTGACAAGAGAAAGAGAAAGGTATATGGAAACATATGCTGACATGATTTTCTTATATAGCACACGCTCAAAAACATGAACTGAAGATGATTTAAAGCTTAATTTTTCACGTTTTTCTCTATTTGCTTTCCGTACCCTCTTTATCCTCCAACAATAAAAGTAGCTAAATAATTCCTTTTCTTTTGTCTCTCTTTTTTTGTCAACCCCATCGTTATCGACTTCGCAACTGTTGCTATTTTTCACGATTTTTCAGACTAAAATATCGGTATCGGCTTAAATCGGAATCGATCGGCAGGTCAGGCTTTTTAAAGATCGGCGCTCGGCCAGAAAACTGCCATCGGGGCACCGCGGCAAACGTGAAAACAAAGCATGCAATGAAAAGAAACAAGCATCAATAATTGTGCCACTGGTGATTTTGTTAAAAAATATATATATAACTATGTTATCCCTCACTCCCACCGCTGCCACCAAATAAATGTTTGGGCGTGTGTTTCATGTGAAACCAAACTCATATTCAAGGACTTTCAGAGCTGCGTTAATAATGACCCGCCCTTTAGCACTGATAACATTAATGTCAGACAACATAAAATCAATGCATTATTAATGACAAACTGATAGCATGCCATAAGCACCTTATCTTGTACGAGTTGCACAACAGTACAAGACAGTTTTAAAATTATGGATGCTGGTTGCAGGAAGCCAGATTAGACTATGTAAAGCCTTCCATCCTGGACTGACTCAACTGGACGTTGGCCCCGCTCCAACACGAAGAGTGAGAGGATCGGTTTTAAGTAGCTGAAATAAGAGGATATTTTTATACTCACTTGTATTGTTTTACTTTAATTGACGTAATAAATAACGATTATAAGATGGGGATAGGATACAGTGGTTTTCACACTTTTTGCACCATGAGCCAGAAATGTAGGAATGCCATCATTTTGTTCTTGCCATTAGAAATGCAAAACAGTTTTAAAAAGTGACAACGTAAAATTATTTGCAATTTATTTTCTGTATTTTGTTTAGGCAACTGCAAGTGTAATTCCATAAAGCTCAACTATTATGCTTCTTCTACCAGATTAGGATAGTCCTATAGGCAATACAGAACATTATCAACATATTTTTCTTTTGCACAAAATCCCTTAGAAATCAGATTTTAGTGTGTCAGGTTCTGTCTATTCTGAGCTCCTTTCAAAATGAGCTTTTAGGTTCTCTTGTCTCTTTAAATCCAGCTGCTGCTTGACCACGCCCCCGCACCCCACAACTCAATGTTTACACTCCAACATGAAAACGGCTGCAAACAGATAGATGTCCAGTTACACAACTGGACATCTTTGAAAAGCAGAAGTGGAACCAACATGAATGCAGGAAGTGGTTTCTGGATGGTAGGTCAACAACAAAACACTTGTCTTTCTTACAGCAGTCATTGTACAACACATACAGCCGTAAAGCCAGCTCACCAAACATGCTGGAGCTCCGATTGTGGCTCAACAATCCTGAGGATTTTTGAAATGGCTTGTTTTCCAGTCACCAAAAAATTTCAAAACTTTTAGAACCATTTGAGACCCAAATGGAAGTATA